CCTACTGGGACAGCAGACAGGAATGGCCGAGTCCCTCCCCACGTGACACTTGAGAAGATGCTCCCGGGGACAGCTCTGTGCGTCAGAACCTGCGTGAGATAAAGCTCTCCACGTCTGGGGGTGCGAGGCACTCCCCTTGTCAACCGTTCTCAAAGGGGCAACTCCCAAAAGCCGGTCCCGTCAACAGCCTTTCAAACTTTCCCCACTTCTATTCTTACCCTCCCTTCCAAGAACAGCTGCAGGCCAGAGTTAGTCTATGGAAACCACGTCCACAGAGCTCCTCACCACAAAGACCCACTGAGCTCTCAGGTGGCTGCGACGATGGCACAATTTCTTTTTCAAGGAACGTATTCAGCCCCATAGCCATCTTATGGCAACAACAGAATCAGGGTCGAGTCTCCAGGGCGCTCCCTCTGCTCCCTCAAAGATGTAACCTGAAGACAGGTGCTCCTGGGGCTCAGAAGCAGTCCTTAGATTCTTTAAGGATTTCACTGGAAATCCAGATTGCCGTTTCTCTTCTTTTCAGGGTTTAGAAATGCAAACACTAAGTTGGCCGTGTTTTAGCGTTCAACAGAATTAATCAGGGAAGATTTAGTCAGGATATTTTTGGTCAGTGGAGTCAAAGATATAAGGGGAAAAGAGTGGCGGAATCAAAAAAGAAACTCGTTAATCCGTGCGTTTCCCTCTCCAGTGACTCAGAAGCAGAGAATCAAGTTGCAGGCTCTGCCGACTACATACGGCAGAGGTGGTTCGACCGGGCTAATTTTCTAGGTAGGACACAAGTTCGGCTAGCCTCCTAATTTTTCTTTTTACCTCTAAACATTCATTCGCAGAGTAGATGAGTTCCTCAGATGTCGCAGGTAAATCTTAGACTCGTTAAAATGTCATGTTGCTAGGGATTCGGGAGGTAATCTAGCCAAATGCCTTCACTGCACACAAAAGGTGAGGGATGGCCAGGCCGGGTGAGGGACCTGATCAATAATAACCCAGTTAGGAAATGGCCGAGCCAAGACCAAAATTCAGGTACAGGCTTCTGCCTGATTCGGTTTCTCTACCCTTGTTGATCGATTGCTTTATCGGCCTATTCTCCGCCACTTTCGGTACATGAGGATGAAGGCAAGGTGCTGGTGAGGCTGGTTCGCATCTAGGGGTTCAATCAGGGAAGGATTTGCTTTTCCATCGGCATGACTGCTGAGAGCATTCAGTTCCTGGTGGCTGTTGGACTGAGAGCTTCAGTCTTTTGCTGGCTGTTGGCTGGGTACCTCCCTCGACTATAAAAAGCCACCCACAGCTCTTTGCCACATGGGCCTCCCAACATGACCACTGTTTCACTGAGGCGGACGAGGGACAGAGCAGATCTCGAGTGAGTGTTCTGTCTACTGCAGCCCTGAACCTCCACTCCTGGGCGTATAGCTCACAGACGTGAGCGCTGATATTCATCTGGGGTAACTACAAAACATTCGCAGCCGCTTTACAAAGTAGCTGTCATCTCTCCTCCTTTGGGTTTAGCACCTCCCACACATGATTCTCGCGAGAACAGTCTGAAATTCAAACCCCACTCCTGCCTTCCTGCTGCTCGATACCCCTTTCTCTGACCTTGCATATACTTTATTCTGAAACCAATCAATCATTTCCACTCCCAGCGTGGTAAATACTTCCTCTTTCACACAGCGTAGCGTCTGTGCTTTTTTTTTTTTTTAAACATTTATTTATGTTTGAGAGACAGAGAGAGACAGAGCATGAGCAGGGAAGGAGTAGAGAGAGAGGGAGACACAGAATCAGAAGGAGGCTCCAGGCTCTGAGCTGTCAGCACAGAGCCCAACGTGGGGCTCGAACCCACAGACCGAGAGATCATGACCAAAGCCAAAGTTGGCTGCTTAACCGACTGAGCCCCCCCGGTGCCCCAATATCTTTCCCTCTTTCAACAAAGGAACCCTCACAACTCATCAGACTGCCTCCGATACTCATGTATTTACCTTGAGGCAAAAGTCGTATTATCCCTGTGTGGTCTGTTCATTATTCTGTGCCTTCATTTCTCTATCCACAAACAGTGATAATAATGCCCTCCTAGGGGCCCCCTGAGGGGAACTCTGCCAAGAACAGCAAATGGCAACTCTTCATCGTCTATAGCGTGCCTGCTGAGTGATGGAAACCAGGAAACTCTCTTTCTCTCCTGCCACCACAGTGCCCTTCTCCAGGTAGTAGCTGACAGAGCAATTTTGGGGGGACCATCTCTCAAAAAAAAATGGCCTTCCCTCTATGGCCTCACCCTAATCCCTGGGAGCCAAGAGGAAAGACAGAGTTGGTCAGGAGAGATGTACGATACAACAGGAGATGAGATGCCAGAGTTCTGGAGACGCGGCACTGGAACACAGTCTATACTGCAGGCCAACTGATCCCTGGAAAACAGCCTGTTTCGCAGACTCTGATGCAAATTCAAGCACATTTTTATTTCACAGGGTACAAAGTTAAAAGCATTTAGAGACATGGGCTAGAAATCTAAGTCTCTGAAAAAAAACAGGTGTCCTTCAACAAAAGAACCCTGGAACCTGAGACATGTCCCACATGGCAAAGAGCATGTCTTTTTTTTTTTTTTTTTTTTTTAATTAAACACCACTTAAGGTCTGACCGACATACGTAAGACTGTACATATTTAACGTATACAACCTGAGGAGTGTGGAGATGGGTACACACCCAGAAAACCATCACCACATTCCTGTCATAAACTTGTCCGGGCAATGAGCAGGTCTGAGGGACAGGGACGTGGCCGGAGGTGGTGAAGGGAAATCAAGGCAAACGCAGCCTCAGTGCCTCACTCCATTGGGGCTGCCATGACAGACTACCATGACTGAGTGGCCTAGAAATAACACAAATGTTATCTCTCACTGTCTAGAGGCCGGGAGTCTGAGAGCAGGTGCCAAGGTGGCTGGGATCTGGTGAGAGACCTTTTCTGCATTGGAATCTGCCAAACTCTCGTATCCTCACATGGCACAAAGAGAGCCAGCTGACTCTCTGCTCTCTTCTTAAAAAGGCACTAATCCCATTCGTGAGGCCCCCCCGCTTCGTGAACTCACCACCTTCCAGCGGCCCCACCTCTCCCTACACGATCACACCGGGGGCTAGGATTTCCACCTGCGAACTGGGTGGGGGACACGAACGCTTAGACCACAACGCTTAGGCTGGGTCCCACCTGGAAGGTGGCACTGAATATGCTGAGTGTGGCCGGAAGCCAGCTCTATGCTGCCTTCAAGTGAAGAACCTCCAGCCTCCACCTCCAGCCTCCCTGAGACAACCTGTCAAATTTCACACGCTCCTCCCTGCTTCGTGGCCAAAGTCTGACGTGATAACTCTAAACCAACTCATTTAGGCCTGACCTATGCTATGCCATTGGCTGGAACGATGGCATTTTTTATTTTGAAAATGTTTGCATTGATCGGAAGGTTGGGAAGACAGTCCAATGAATACACGTGGATCTATTATTCCGATTCACCAAATATTAAAATTTTTGCCCCATTTTGTTCACCTGTCATCACACCTACCTGTCCACCCTTGTTTTTGTTGAACTACATGAAAGTAGTTTACAGACTACAAGTACAGACATAATGACACTTTATGCCTAAATACTTTGTTATCTCTTAAGATTCAGGACGTTTTCCTATATAACCACATGAATATTGTTAAGCCCAAGAAAAGTAACAGTATTCCACAAAATAAACAGAAGACCTTCAAATTTCCCTGACTGCCTCTAAAAGCTTTTATAATTATGCGTGGTACTGTAACATATAACAAGAAATATACACCAAACCAAAAAACAGATTCTTAACTACACAGAACTGATGGTCACCAGAGAGCAAGGGATGGGGAGGGGAGAAATGGGGAAATGGGTAAACGGGTTAAGAGTACCCTTAATCGTGATGGGCACTGAGTAACGTACAGAACTGTGGATCACTATATTGTCAATCAAAAACTCACACTGTATGTTAACTATACTGGAATTATAAAAAAATTTTTTTTAAAAAGATGACCTATATTTGGTTTTCATTGCCATTTCTGGCACAGAGCTCCTAAGACCCTTGGATTTCCTACGTGATAAGAGCAACAAAGGTGAAATGAGTCTCTTCTGTGGTTCATTCCTAAGTAGCCCTTTTCAGCTGAGTTTATAGTCATGAGGTGACTTCTGGAACTTCTGAGGATGGGGGCTGGCTGCCAGGGGAACCCACCCTGTGAAAAAGAGGGTTGGATCTTTCAGGGGCACCTGGGTGGCTCAGTCAGTTGAGTGCCTGACTCCTGATTTTGGCTCAGGCCATAATCTCATAGTTTGTGAGTTCGAGCCCTGCATCATGCTCTGCATGGACACTGTGGGGCCTGCTTGAGATTCTGTCTCTCCTTCTGTCTTCGGCCCTCCCTTGCTCACACTCACGTGCTCTCTTTCTCTCTCTTTCAAAATAAACAAATAAACTTTAAAAAAAAAAAAAAAAGAGGGTTGGAACTTTCAGTCCACCCTCTGACCTCCAGGGAAGGGAAAGGGGATGGAGGGTGAATCAAGCACCAATGGCCAATGATTTAATCAACTCTGCCTATGTCATGGGGCCTCCATACAAACCCAAGAGGAGGGAGCTGGAGCTTGGAGAGCCTCCAGGTGGGCAGACACGGAGACATGCTGGGAGGGTGGTGCCCCCAGAGAGGGCACGGAAGCTCCATGCCCCTTCCCACAATACCTTGCCCTGTGCATCTTTCCCTCAGGGCTGTTAAGTTACATCCTCCTGTGACACACTGATAATCTAATAAGTCAACTATTTTGCTGAGTTCTGTGAGCCACTCTAGCAAATGACTCAAACCCAAGGAGGGAGCTGTGGGAACCTCCAAATTCCAGCCAGTAGATCAGAAGCACCAGTAATAAGGGGATTTGTCGGACATGGGGGCGGTCTCGTAGAACTGAGTCTTTAGCCTGTGGGGCCTGACGCTGCCTCCACGTACATAATAACATCAGCATCAACGTGATTTGCGACAAATGTGAAGGCAGAGGTGGTAAGAAAGGAGCGGTAGAATGTTGTCCCAATTGCCGAGGTACTGGAATGCAAATAAGAATTCATCAGATAGGACCTGGAATGGTTCAGCAAATTCAATCTGTGTGCATGGAGTGCCAGGGCCATGGGGAACGAATCAGTCCTAAAGATAGATGTAAAAGCTGCAACGGAAGGAAGATAGTTCAAGAAAAGAAGATTCTAGAAGTTCATATTGACAAAGGCATGAAAGATGGCCAGAAGATAACATTCCATGGTGAAGGAGACCAAGAACCTGGACTGGAACCAGGAGATATTATCATTGTTTTAGATCAGAAGGACCATGCTGTTTTTACTAGGCGAGGAGAGGATCTTTTCATGTGTATGGACATACAGCTGGTTGAAGCACTGTGCGGCTTTCAAAAGCCAATATCTACTCTAGACAACAGAACCATTGTCATTACCTCTCATCCAGGTCAGATTGTCAAGCATGGAGATACCAAGTGTGTGCTGAATGAAGGCATGCCAATTTATCGTAGACCATACGAAAAGGGTCGCCTAATCATCGAATTTAAGGTAAACTTCCCTGAGAATGGCTTTCTCTCTCCTGATAAACTGTCTTTGCTGGAAAAGCTTCTACCTGAGAGGAAGGAAGTAGAAGAGACTGATGAAATGGACCAGGTAGAACTGGTGGACTTTGATCCAAATCAGGAAAGAAGGCGCCATTACAATGGAGAAGCGTATGAGGATGATGAACATCACCCTAGGGGAGGTGTTCAGTGTCAGACCTCTTAATGGGGCCAGTGAAGAACACTGCTGGCATTTTATATGCAGTAGTGAACGAATGAAGGACTATAATCATAGCTCACTACTTGCTATTATTGTTTTTGTTTTAATATTCAACTGTAGTAGTGTTTTAAAAGTTAAATGAAGAATAAAAAATATAAAAGCTCAAAAAAAAAAAAAAATCAGCATCGAGTTAAACCTCAAGACACCCAGCTGGTGCTGCAGGAGTGTTTGGTGTGGAAAAAAAATCACATAGTTGGCGACCGGAAATGTCAAAAGTACTCTCCCTAGAGTCGTGTGTATGGCACAAAGGAAAATGGTTCTGCGATTTCTCTTTAGACTATGTTTCTCCCAAAGCAGTCCAGACACCTCTAGATAGAAAGTAAGGCGGTCCCAGTGTAGTGTGCTGGCCTTGAGACAAGAGATCACCAGAACATCACCATTATCTTGTCACCTCCCAGCTTCCTATTAGATATGAGGTGGCCAAGATCCTCAGTCGCCTAAGTCACATCCCTCACCTACAGGAGCCGCGTCAACCTAAAAGCAGTAGAGAAATCTAGAACCCTAGGCACTGATCCAAATAACTCTAGGCCACGTGCTGACCATCAGGGATCATCAGTTCCCAGGACACACGGCCTTCGGCCGGTGCTCAGACCCCACGTGCTCAGCATAAAGAAAAGGTGGGGATCGGGGCGCCTGGGTGGCGCAGTCGGTTGAGCGTCCGACTTCGGCCAGGTCACGATCTCGCAGTCCGTGAGTTCGAGCCCCGCGTCAGGCTCTGGGCTGATGGTTCGGAGCCTGGAGCCTGTTTCCGATTCTGTGTCTCCCTCTCTCTCTGCCCCTCCCCCATTCATGCTCTGTCTCTCTCTGTCCCAAAAATAAATAAAAACGTTGAAAAAAAAATTTAAAAAAAAAAAAGAAAAGGTGGGGATCGAGCAACAAGGCAAGCGAGAGAGGCAGAAGTGAGTGCACAATGTCCTCCAACAACCTGTGTCCTACATTTTAGCTCAACCACCTCCCCGAGTCTTAGATTCATCCACACAAGAGGAAGTGGCTCCAGGACCTGAACGCAAGAAACTGCTGTCCAGACTCCGGATCCTAACTTGCATTCTCGACATTATGGAAAGGAACGGTCGCAGTCACCGGGATGGCCTTCAGAAACAGCACTCCCTTCACAGCTATATGAACTGGATGGTGTCAGGACTCTTCAGCTAAACAGCCAGGAGAAGCAGCCGGAGAAGTGGATTTCTACGGACGTGGGAATTTCCTCCTTTAGGCACCGGAAAGAAGTGTTCTTTCAGACAGAATGCACAGCAGCGCGGGAACGCAATCCCAGCTCTTCTGAATTCCAGGCCACTGTATTCCTGCTAGGCCCCTAGTCAGAGGAAGAAGAACGGCCCGTGTCTCAGGCCAGCTTCCTTTAGCACCGGAAAGAACCAGAATGTCCGAAGCATAAAACATTAGGGGGGAAATGTGCCGGCTTTGTGGCCTAATCTCAATAACCCAGTCAAAAATCCTTGTTGTTGCAGGATTTCAAGAAAGAGGGGAAAAAATGTTTAATGGCTGGGACACAGTAAATACATGAATTAGAATTCTGATTACGGCCGCAGAGCTCACAATTCCAAACGAACAGAAAAAGAAGTTCGCTGTGGCTCGGTACCTTCCCGTTGCTGATTACGGTGCCCTATGATAAAATATACAATATCATGTACGCAGTACAGATCTTAGCGTAAGGCTGCTCAATGTTGATCCCACATACCCCAAGGTATTTCGCTAGCAAAACACCAGAGAAACATGTAGCGCATCTGTGAGATGGCCCCAACACAAGGAATGTGTGCGACTTTACGAATTGTCTTATCTCCCCACTACATAATTTTCTGGAAAACAGTAACTACACCGTGTATGTATGTTTACCTTAGAAGTGAATACATCTGCTGCCCTTTGGAAGCAGTGAACTGTTTGATGTCTGGATGGATGGATGGATGGATGGATGGATGGATGGATGATGAATGGCTGGGTGGATGGATAAATACACATTCATGGTTGGTTCTATTGTTTGATCTGTTTCCAAATCATTCACAAATAGACCCTATCATAAAGCAGTGTTTGACATTCTATGCAGTGATTTTCTGAAGGCCCTGCCTGGCCATGGGCTTCTCGAGAGAGAGTATGATGGCGGTGGGGTCTAGTTGCAAAGGGATCCTTCCTCTACCTCCAGCCACCACACTGAAAAGTCCTCAATGACTTTTAGAATTTTTAGAACAAATTCTAACTATGTAACTTTATTCACATGTAACTTTGAGAGCATACCCACTGCATAAAATCACATAAATATACAAAAGATTTTTTATGTTACGTATTTAATCAAACAGAATGCTGACTTAAAAGAGTTTGGATGGATTGGGGCGCCTGGGTGGCTCAGTCGGTTGAGCGTTCGACTTCGGCTCAGGTCATGATCTCACAGTTCGTGGGTTTGAGCCCCATGTTGGGCTCTGGGCTGACAGCTCAGAGCTTGGAGCCTGCTTTGGATTCCGTGTCTCCCTCTCTCCCTCTGCCCCTCTCCGCTCATGCTCTGTCTCTCTCTCTGCCTCTCAAAAATTAAGAAACGTAATAAAAAAAAAATTTTTTTTAAAGAGTTTGGATGAATCCTTGAATTCTGCCACTCTGGATTACAACATTTAAATGGTCTTCAAACTATTTTATTCTTTTCTGAAAACAAAACGCACAGAGGTGGAGACTTCCGAGTCCTGCCTAGGGTAACGCACAGCGGCATATGCACTTCTCCATGCAAAGTGTTCCTTAAACTCCCACACGCGCATGGCACGAGAACACTCCAGAAAACCCAAGTGTTTCACACCAGAATCATAATTATATTCATTTTTTTAAGAGGGCATCTTCATATATGTTCATTGAGTATGAACAGACTCAATTTACGAAAAGAAAAATAAGGAAGCCAAGTCCACGTTCATCAAGAAGCATCTTGCTTCTGACCCCTTCAGATAAAACTGTGAGGACGTGCCTGAATTTTGATTACGCAACGTTGTTACAAAGTAGATGGTGAAAAGGGATGAAAGTAATTTCCTGATAGACTCTTATCTAGGCAAGTAAGGTAGATGACACACAGCAGACTGACAAGGAGAAAATATGAATGTCACAGAAAACATCTGTCAAAAGTTGAAAAGTGCTCTGAGAAATGCACTGAATCTCTCGGTCTCAGGAACCCATGACACATACACTCTGCCCTTCCATACTGCAAATCACCTGGGAGGGGCAACTCATTCCCTGTGATTTCGAATGCTGTCATTAAGTGAAGGCTACCTCAAGCTGCATAAGGGAAAAGCGTGTGCCCGTGTCCTGGGCAATTGTTCAAGGTCTTGTCACCATCATGAACTGAAAGAATTTACCAGATTCCGAATTGTGCAAAGTTCCCTTGTAGGCTCTGCAATAAGATAAGGAAACACAACTGGCCTATTACTCTATTGATCGATGCACCCTCACTGCTGAATTAAAAGACATCACGTAAGAAAAAAAAAAAAAAACAAACTAAACCAAATCCGCTTCACCCTTACCACAGGGTAAGTAAATACCTAATCCAGCTGGGGTTACTGGGTGTCTGCCTCTTTCTGAGTCTTTCCAGTGACGAAGGCTCCGTAATCTTTTTGATCTCAGCAGTCAGAACATGATTTCTTATTTCCAATGGGAAATTCTTTGGTATGTATACCCTTGTTTTGCCCTACATGAGCCTGAGCAAAAGTCACTGAGAAATATTATTCAGATGGGGGTCTGCAGCTGTGCAGAACAAAACTAGAAAAAAAACAGCTTCTGTTCACTCAACAGGAAGGGGCTGTGGCGTTGCCACAGTGGCATCTCCTGGAGCTCAGAGGACGAGCTGCATGGCGACCTTGACCTTGCAGGGAAAGAGGACCCAGCACGGAGCCCTGAAAACCGCCCCGGGTCCCTCTGGGATCCTTTGCACACCTGCCTGATTCTTGTGTGCAGACCGGGTTTCTCTGGCTCTTGGGCCACACAGAAGCTAGAAGAGCTCCTCCATAGCATTTTCCCCACGTGAAAGACCACCCCAAACTAGGTCACAAGCTCCTGATTTTAACGTCGAATTCCAGGAGGGAGATACTAAGTATGTGTCAAGAGTCCATGCCAGTCTAACCTGTGGTGCCCAGGAGACAGCTGATGCCAAGTCTGGCTTAAGAGCCCACCTAGAGGGTGTGATGCTGGGCACGTAGGGGTGTCATGGCGAGCTGGGAAGACATTCCCCATGGTGTCAGCTCCCATCATTCTCACCAAGCCATGTCACGGGCCTGTTTTACCTCTCCCTCCCCCAATACTTTATTCTTGCTAGTAGCAAGAATCTTCAAACCCCACTGACCCATTTCTCTTCTCCCCTGGGCTCTGTTCATTTTTTCCGTATCATTTTGAACACGGGCTTGTCGAAACCACACTAAGCGCTCTGATAGGGCACCGGCTAACGTAGCTGTAGGAGTGGGAATGCCTGTCAGTGTCTTCAGCTGGGTCAAGGTGAAGACCCAGGAGACGAGCACTGGGAGGCTCAGTTCTTGACATAGGAAGGCATTCAGAAGTGCTCTGTGCGGGGTAACTCTGGAAGACGCCACAGACACGTAGACGCGTAGCAGCCACGTGTGCATACGTGTGACCTTTCATTAATACGTTTAACAAATGTTTACTGCAATAGGTGCCAGAGATGCTCTGCGATCGGGGGATAGAGTCACCCCTGTCCTGTGTGCAGCGAGCCATGCTGAGGACAGGGGACGCGGCCCAGAGCCCCGCCCTCACAGAGCTCCCCGTCTGTAAGTTTCAGCCCCACACCTGAACCTGCCATGACAACACACGAGAAGTGACAGCACCGTGCGGCCCCCTGGCAAGGACACCTCACCCGATCTAGATGGTCAGGGAGGCTCCCTGGAAGAAGTGGGTGGCACTCAGCCGGGGACCTGGCTGGGGAAGGTGACAGGCGTCAGGGCCCCTCCTGATGACACACACTGGACTGAAGAAGCAGAAAGGACCAGAGTCGGTTTCTGCTCGCAGACCGACTTCATCCGTTGCGTTTCCTAGCGGCTACGCTCCAGGCAGGCTGAGTCACCTTCTAGAAACAGCG